TTATTAGAAATCATGGGAACTGACTCATGATCACTGTTGGCTTCTGTGATTTAAACATTTGGCAGTCTCTTCTGTCCATTGGTATTAAATCTTTCCACACTGCACTTCAGCTTCATTATCCTTGTTGTATATGTGGGTGTGAGGGAGGGAGAGATCTAAGCAACCCTAGCATACGATACAAACGTACTAGTCAGCTTTCAAACTCTTGTGTTTTCAATTTCATTTAGGAAATAGAAATATAGAGCTATATGTGCATGTGCTTGGTTTATAGAAAAGCTGCCATACTACCTTCAAATATTGGTTCTTCAAATGAAAAAAAAACAGAATAGCTTTTGCAGTTCATTAATTTGAGCCTTTGAAGGAGATTTCTTTATCTTGGGGGTTTTCTTGCAAAAGTATTGAAATTGGACGGTGGGCGGGGGGTTTGTTATCACTCACAGAGCCACGCGTCGGGGGACAAAGTCGTTATTAAAAGTACTCTTACCCCTAAGGGAGTTCTCTCCGATGCTTCAGAATTGGCATCACATCTTGTAAATCCATTGCGCCTTCCTCTGAACTAAGCCCAAACTAAAATGTGTCATATGCATCCAGCAGGAAAGCCATGCGTGCAATTCTTGTTTGGAAAAATGTGCCCCAGCTTTCTGCCTGTCTGATTTTGATATGGCCCCTCGCATCAGACAATCCCATAAGGCTGTAATGGGCCGAGTCATTGTAATCAAATGCAGCGTTCCATGTGTCTAATTTCGCGAAAGTAGGTCAAGTTGGAAATAGTATTTCCCACTGATTCCTGCAGCCTGTTCTTATAGGGTGCCGGAGGCAGCGTTGGCTGATATCTTGGTGTATAAATCTGGACCAACCAGTGGTATAAATCTCACGGTCATTGGCATTTGGGTCTGTAAATATCTCCCATCAGACAGCATCTGATAATGAGAATTAGTGCCTAAAAATAAATGAAATGTTTTAAAAAGAATTAAAATAGACGAGTACTTTCTTAAGAGGAAAATTATTCAGTTTTGTAGAACCAGAGCTAAAGCATTCATATATTTTGCCACCTGTCAATGAATGACCATTGCCATGAACATGAGAGCAGTCTTCCAATATTTGAGGGGCTGCCACAGAGAGGAAGAAGTCAAGCTATTTTCCAAGGCACCCAAAGGCCAGACAAGGAAAAATGGATGGAAACTGATCAAGGAGAGACTCAACCTAGAAATAAAGAGACATTTTCTGATATTGAGAGCAATCAACCAGTGGAACAGTTTACCTTTGGAAGTTGTGGGAGCTTCATTACTGGAGGCTTTTAAGAAGAGATTAGACTGCCATTGGTCAGAAATGGTGTAGGGTCCCCTGCTTGAGCTGGGGGTTGGACTAGATGACCTACAGTATAAGATCCCTTCCAACTCTGTTAATCTGTCTTTGTTTTCCAAGGTTATGTTGCCCC